AGGTTGCTGTGAGCTGTGATGCCACAGCACTCTACCAAGGGGACAGCTTGAGGCTCTGTCTCAAAAAAAAGAAAAAGAAAAAGAAAAAGAAAATCTGACCCATCATGGTGCTGGCTGAGAGGCAGGCTTCATGCGAGGTGTTTGGGGTATGGGGGATCCGGGACTTCTCCTGGGAATGGATTAGTTCCTGCCAGAGCAGGCTGTTAGAAACCCAGTTTGGCTTCCTCGCCTCTCACTCTCTCTCACCTGGTGAGCCCTCTGCTCACATTCACTCATCTGCCACTTCTCTGCCACGTCTTACCCCAGTGAGCAGCCTTCGCCAGAAGCAGCAAAACGTGGCACAGACTCTTCAACTTACCAACCTGCTGAAACATGAACTGAATATAGTAAGTCCTCACCTAAAGTCATCAACAGTTTCTTGGAAATTGTGACTTCAAGTCAAATGATGTTGTATTAAACCAATTTTGCCCTAGGTTAGTTGATAAACCAAGAGTTGAGCTCCTACTGCCTGTTTCTGGTCACAAAGACACTGTCAGACTTATAAATAAAGACCCCAAACACTGTAATATTAAACACTGAAATAAATGTAAGCTACATGTACATTTAAGAGAGATTAATAAAAACAAGTAGGAGGGTGGCGCCTGTGGCTCAGTGGTTAGGGTGCCAGCCCCATATACCAAGAGTGGCGGGTTCAAACCCGGTCCCAGCCAAATGCAATAACAACAAAAAAATAGCCAGGTGTTGTGGTGGGCACCTGTAATCCCAGCTACTTGGGAGGCTGAGGCAAGAGAGTCGCCTAAACCCAGGAGGTGGAGGTTGCTGTGAGCTGTGACACCAAAGCACTCTACCAAGGACAATAAAATGAGACTCTGTCTCTAAAAAAAAATAATAAAATAAAACAAAAACAAGTAGGATAAATATTTACCTAATTTTTGGCAAATCAGTGATTGACAGCAGTCATGGTGGTGGTGGGTTAAATCAAAGAATAAATGTTTATAAAACTAAAAATTGCAAGGAGTGCTTCTTCCTCCCACTACACAGTTCATAGACGAGAACACAACAGTGGCTCACCAGGCACCTGCTTTTGTGTATTTGTATGATTATCATACACGTTAGGAATGTTTATTTATTTTTTTATTTTTTCATCTTTTTTGAGATAGAGCTTCAAGCTAACCCCCTGGGTAGAGTGCCATAGCATCATAGCTCACAGCAACCTCCAACTCCTGGGCTCAAGTGAGTCTCCTGCCTCAGCCTCCTAAGTAGCTGGGACCACAGGCGCCTGCCATAGCACGCCTGGCTATGTTTTGGTTGCAGTCATCATTGTTGTTTGCGGGCCTGGGCTGGATTCGAACCCGCCACCTTAGGTGTATATGGCTGGCACCTTAGCCACTTGAGTCACAGGCGCCGAGCCAGAATGTTTATTTTGTAATAATTTGTATTCATTCATTCATTTTCCAACCTACTTATTCCAGTTCAGGGTCTCAGGTGGGCAGAGTTTATCCCAGCAGGGCACACAGCGGGAGCCGATCCTGGCCAGGACGCCATTCCATCACAGAGTAACTCACACCCACACCCACACCCACACTCACTCACACTGGGAAGACGTAGACTCACCAGTTAACCTAACGTGCACATCTTTGGGCAGTGGGAGGAACTGCAGGACCTGGACAAAGTCTACATGGATGTGTGGAGAACGTGCCAGCTCCACACAGACAAGGGCCCTGGCAGGAATTGATGTTTTTTCCACCAACATTGTTGACAAAATGACATTGACTAAAATGATGCTATTTGAGGACCAGCTGTAAATGTCTTTTCTATACCAGTCTCGGGTATTACGTTATAGCAACACAAAATGGACTAAGACAGGCTCAGAACAAAAGCAGAGCTGTGAAGTAGCCTGAATCTTTTTTTTTTTTTTTTTTTTTTGAGACAGATCCTCAAACTATCACCGTGGGAAGAGTGCCTTGGCAGAAAGCCTAAATCTTCTTAGAAGTTACCTAAGTGATCACAATCAGTATACTGGCAGAAATAAGGATAGTAAAGACTTTCCTGGTGAGGTTTCAGATAGAAATGAGGAACATGTTGGAAATGGGAAAAGGGTATCCTTGTTTTAAAGTGGTAAAGAACTTGGCTGAATTGTGTTCATGTCCTAATGTTTTGTGAAAGGCGGAACTTTACAGGTATTTGGCAGAAGAAATCTCTACACAAAGTACTGAAGGTACAGTGTGGTTTCTCTTGCCTGCTTACAGAAAATGCAAGAGAGAAACAAATCAAAGATGGAATTCATCATTAAAAACAAAACAGAAGTTAAATATATGGAAAATTATCAGTCCGACACGTGAATCTTTCTAAATGTAAAATATAAATGTCTTAACACAATAACTAAGAAAATGCTGTGAAGGCTATATTGACCAATTTGATGAAAATATTTCAAATTGTATATAAAACCAGCATACTGTACCCCACAATTGCATTAATGTACACAGCTATGATTTAATAAAAAAAAAATAAGAAGAAAATTATCTGGCTCAGAGCCTGTGGCTCAAACAGCTAAGGCACCAGCCACATACACCTGAGCTGGTGGGTTCGAATCCAGCCCAGGCCCGCCAAACAATGACAGCTGCAACCAAAAAATAGCTGGGAGTTGTGGCAGGTGCCTGTCATCCCAGCTACTTGGGAGGCGGAGGCAGGAGAATCACTTGAGCCCAGGAGTTGGAGGTTGCTGTGAGCTGTGATGTCAACAGCACTCTACCCAGGGCAATAGCTTGAGGGTCTCAAAAAGAAAAGAAAAAAACAAGAAAATTATCAGTCTGGCCGTATGGTGGAGAATGCAAAAACATGCTGAAACCCCAAGTGTGTCTGACCAAGCTAGTGTCTGATTAAGAAGGTCAGTGTGGGCAGAAGAAAATCAGATGCTGGTCCTCAAGGCAACGGAGCAGCGATCCTCAAAGATGTTTCTGAGATCTGTGGGGGCTCCCTTCCCAGCCTTCTGAGCAGAGCTCCTAGACTCCTCAGCTGTGGCCCAGGTAGGTGAAGCTTGGGCTGTACACCATGATGGAGTCTATGCCCTGCCATCTCCATGGTACGCAGACAGCACAAGCTGTGGAAGTATGGCCACCTCCACCTGGTCTTCAAAGGACGCCCCAAGACCCATCAGGGTCCTGGCAGAGAACTGCCACAGGGGCAGGGCCACCAGAGAGAACCTGGATCAGAGCAATATGGGTATAGTTGTGGAGGCAGAGCTGCCCCCAGCACCCTAGACTGTAAGAGCCACAAGTGTGTGGCACCTGCCTAGGACTCCAACATGTGAAAAGTGGCTACACAGGCTGCTCCCAGCAGAGCCACGTGAGTGGGGCTGCTCAGAGCCTGGCAGGGCCAACCCCTACCCTAGTGGCTGAAAGGTGGGTCTTTGAGTTAAAGATTATTCTAGAGCCTTAAGATTTAATGTTGTCTTGCTATGTTTTGGACTTGGTCGAGTCTTGGTCTTTTTCTTCCTATTTCTCCCATTTGGAATGGGAATGTCTATCCTATTTCTGTCTCATCACTGCATCTTAGAAGCATCTACTTGTCTGATTTTGCAGGCTCACAGCAAGAGAGAAATTTGCCTCAGAATGAGTCTCACCATATCTAATTTAGAAGATATCTACATGAGACTATGGACTTTAGCACTGATGCTAGAATTAAGTTAAGACTTAACTAGAGTTAAGAAATTAAGGGCTGGCTCAGCGCCTGTGGCTCAAGTGGCTAAGGCACCAGCCACATACACCTAAGGCGGCAGGATTGAATCCAGCCTGGGCCCACCAAACAACAATGACGGCTGCAACCAAAAAAATAGCCGGGCGCTGTGGTGGGCGCCTGTGGTCCCAGCTACTTGGGGGGCGGAGGCAGGAGACTAGCTTGAGCCCAGGAGTTGGAGGTTGCTGTGAGCTGTGATGCCGCAGCACTCTACCCAGGGGGACAGCTTGAGGCTCTGTCTCAAAAAAAAAAGACTTTAAGGGCCATTATGATAAATGCATTTTGCATTTAAGAGGGACATGAATTTGGGGGTCCAAGAGTAAAATGTTATGGTCTGAATGTTTGCACAACTCCAAATTCATGTTGAAATCCACTGTGGTGGTGATAAGAGCTGAGGCCTTTAGGACGTAATTAGGTCATGATGTTCCACTCTCACAAATGGGATTAGTACTCTCATAAAAGACAGTCCAGGAGCCTTCCACCCTGTTCCACCATGTCAGGGTACAGCAAGAGGGTGCTCTCTCTGAGGAGCAGGCCTTCATCAGGTATCATATGTGCTGGCACCTTAGTCTTGAACTTCACAGCTTCTCTTGTTTATAAAGTGTCTAGTTTAAGGTTATTACACTAAAGTGACTAAGACATTTTTGCTTGAGGCTCTGTTTCAAAATATATATATATATGTTCATGGAGTGGAAGAATTAATATATATTTATTTTTTTGAGACAGAGCCTCAAGTTGTCCCCCTCGGTAGAGTGCCGTGGCATCACAGCTCACAGCAACCTCCAACTCCTGGGCTTAAGTGATTCTCCTGCTCCACCTCCCAAGTAGCTGGAACTACAGGTGCCTGCCACAACACCCAGCTATTTTTTGGTTGCAGCCGTCATTGTTGTTTGGCAGGCCCAGGCTGGATCCAAACCCGCCAGCTCAGGTGTATGTGGCTGGCGCCTTAGCTGCTTGAGCCACAGGCCCCAAGCCTAGGATATACTTCTAAATGAATCAATGAAATTCTCTGAAATGCCATAACTGAGTCTAAATAGTTCAGACGCTGTCGTAAGTCTTGCAAAGAAAGACCGTAAAGGGCTCTAGTATTCACAGGGTCATGAGAGAAGTGAATTAACATTACATCTGGCTGAAAGGTGTTAACTGGTTTTTGCCAACTTAAGAAAAAAAAAAAGGAAGAACGTTCACATTGAAAAGAAATAAAACACGCAACAGTTTAGTTAGCCTTCCCATCAGAGGAAGCACAAGAGGCTCCAGCAACTTACTGGGGATCTCCAGGCTGGGGTGGATGGCAGCCACACTCCTGACCATGGGCGGGGAATGGCGTCCGTCCACCAAGTCTGACTCTGCATCCTGTGCTTCTCCGTGAATCACTGCAATTCCCAGACGCAGACGCTCGGCAAAAGACTGTGCCCTAAGGGAAAGCATCAGACACAAACTCAAAAATCATGCAGCCCTGTTTTCTTTTGACATTCAAGAGGAAGTAAAATACATAAGTAAAATACAGTTTCTCAAGGGAATAAGAAAAAATAGAGAATAAAACAGCCTCAGATGCTTAGTATCCAGGACTAACTATGGAGACCCCACATGCTAAACGCTTCCCTATTGAAGCAGCACCAATGATGGGCAGCACCTGGCCTGCTCTGTAAGCTGCCTGAGTGAGCTAGTTAACCTGCTCTCAGCCTCCTGACCTGAAACTACTGATTCTACCTACTACCCACCTGTGAGGACCAACCATGTCAGATAATATCCATTAAACAGCTGCCAAGCTGTGTGTGGCAGCTCATGCCTGGAATAGCACTCTGGGAGGCCAAGCCAGGTGGATTGCTTGAGCTCAAGAGTTCAAGACCAGCCTGAGCAAAAGTGAGACCCCCATCTCTACCAAAATTAGAAAGACTAACCAGGAGTAGTGGCGAGTGAGTGTCTGCAGTCTCATCTATTCAGGAGGCCAAGGGTTTCAGGCTGCTGTGAGTATGACGACACCATGGCACTCTACCCAGGGCAACAGAGTGAGAGCTGGTTGGACCTCTTTTACCTATTTTTTTTTCAGACAGAGTCTCATTCCGTCACCCTTGGTGGAGTACATTGGCAGGACAGCTCACAGCAATCTCAAACTCTTGGGCTCAAGACATCCTCCTACCTCAGCCTCCCAGGTTAGCTGGGACTACAGGCAACTGTCACAATGCCCAGCTAGTTTTTCTATCTTTAGTGGAGACAGCCTCTTGCTCTTGCTCAGGTTGGTCTCAATACCTGAGCTCAAGAAATCCACCTGCCTGGGCCTCCCAAGGTGCTAGAATTATAGGTGTGATCCTGGTCTCTTTTGCCTATTTTTAAATTGGGTTGGTTTCCTTACTAAGTTTTGAAAACTCTCTACATATCCTGAGAACGAATCTGTTACGAGATATTTGCTTTACAAATATTTTTTTCCACTTGATGAAGTCTAACTTACTCACTTTTTCTCTTATAAATTGTGTCTTCGGTGTCAAAGAAATCTTTGCTTAAACCCAATGTCACAAAGATTTGTCTCTATATTTTTCTCTAAAAATTTCTTTTTTTTTAGAGAAAAGACTCACTCTGTCACCCAGGCTAGAGTGCAGTGGTGCCATCATAGCTCACAGCAACCTCAAACTCCTGGGCCAAAGTGATCCTCCTGCCTTAGCCTCCTGAGTACGTGGGATTACAGGTGCACACCATCATGCCCCACTAATTTATTTTTTGTAGCGATGGATTATCACTATATTGCCCAGGCTTATCTTGAACTCTTGGCCTCAAGTGATCCTCCTGTCACAGCCTTCTGAAGTACTAGGATTACAGGCCCAAGTCACCACATCCAGACCCATCTGAACGTTTTAAAGTTTTAGGTTTTCCACTTAAGTCTATGACTCATTTTGAATTGATCTTTGGCTCAACATTCATTATTTTGCACATGAACATCCAATGATTCCAGCACCACTACCTGTTGAAAAGACGACTGTCCTTTCTCCATTGAACTGTGTTTGCACCTTTATTAAAAATCAGTTCTGCAGATATATATGAGTCTATTTTTGGATTCTCTATTCTGTTCCACTTATGATTTTTATATCTTTAACTCAACACCAACTTATCATGATTGCTGTAACTTTATAAATAAATCTTGGATATAAGCGGTGTTAGATCTGCATCTTGTTCTTTTTCGAAGTTGTTCTGACTATTTTAGGTTCTTTCCATTTCCATATGAATTTCAAAATCTACCAAAAAAATGCTAAAATTCTGATTGGTATGATATCAATTCTATAGACCAATCTGGGAAGAAATGACATCTTAAAAATATGAGCTTTTCAACCCATGAATACAGTATCTCTCTCCATCTCAGCAATGTTTTCTAGTTTTCTGTGTACAGATCTTATACATCTTTCCTTAGATTTATTCCTAAGGGTGTAACTTACTTTGGGAGTTTTTGAATAATTTATTTTTTATTTTATTTTTTTGAGACAGAGTCTCACTTTGTTGCTCCCATGACATCACAGCTCACAGCAACCTCCAGTTCCTGGGGTTAGGCGATTCTCTTGCCTCAGCCTCTCAAGCAGCTGGGACTACAGGTGCCCACCACAATGCCTGGCTATTTTTTTGTTGCAATTTGGCCGGGGGCTAGGTTCAAACCCGCCACCCTCAGTATATGGGGCCAGTGCCCTACTCACTGAACCACAGGCGCTGCTATTAATCATTTTTTTATTTCAATTTACAATCATTCATTTCTAACATACAGAAATACAAACTTGATTTTTGTATATTAGTCTTGTATCCTGCAACCTTACTAAACTGCTTAGTCCTAACAGCATTTCTGTAGATTTTTTTCCACTGACCACTCACTCCCCAGTCACATATTGATAGATTCTACTCGTTTTTCTATATAAATGATCATGCCATTTGCAAATGAAATCTGTTTTGTCTCTTCCTTTATGTATTGGATTCCTTTTCTTTTTCCTTTATATTGCACTGTCTAGAACAGGCGACCTCAAACTATGACCCGCAAGCCACAGGCGGCCCACCTAGGACATTTATCTGGCCCGCCAGGTGTTTTGCCGCCCTGCCTGTCCTGCTTAGCAGCAGACTCGTCCCGGGGCCTGCAGTCCAGCCCTCCAACGGTCTGAGGGACAGTGAACTGGCCCCCTGTTTAAAAAGTCTGAGGACCCCTGGTCTAGAACCTCTATCTAGTTGAATGTTGAACAGAAGCAAGAAGAACATACATCCTCATCCTGCCCTTGATCTCAGGGGAACGCAAGCAAGTCTTTCACCACAAAATGTGACATCAGCTCTAAGTTTTTCATAGACCCCTTTATCAGATGAGGAAGTCCTTGTCTACTTCTAGTTTGCTTAAGGTTTTATTAGGAATAGAAGATGGATTTCGCCAAATGCTTTTTGAATCTACCAAATGATACAGGTTTTCTTTTTTTTTTTTGGACAGGAAGTAGGATTTATTGATGGGTGCAAATGAGGGGGCAGCAGAGGGGAAGCCTGAGTGCAGGGCCCGACCCTTGTCCTGGGGGTCAAAATTGGGTATATATTTGACCGTAGAGCCACCTGGGATGATCTGCTTCTTAGCCATCATGTCTTTAAATTCATCTATATTAAATTTGGCAAAGCCCCACTTCTTTCAGATGTGTATCTTCTGGTGGCCAGGGAACTTGAACTTGGGCCCCTAGCACATGCTCCTTGTTCTGCAGTTTGGTGTGATGGACATGGCAACTTGGCCAGTGTGAACTCATGCCTAGGAGTTTTCCAAAGGCACCACACACACCTGACAGGAGCCTAGACTGGAGACAGCACTGGGAAAGGTCCGTTTCCAAGGTCCCTTAGAACAACCCACAAAAGCTCCAGGCTGTGCATACTACCAAGGAGGCTGCTATTTGCAGCCACTGCACATCAGGCTCCCAAGAGAAAGGAGCATGATCAGTTTAACTGGTTGTAGGTACCTTAGGGTTTGTTTTCTTTCCTGAGACACAGCCATGCTCCGTTGCCCAGGCTACAGCGCCGAGACACAGCCATGCTCTGTTGCCCAGGCTACAGTGCCGAGACACAGCCATGCTCTGTTGCCCAGGCTACAGTGCCATGGTGTTAGCCTAGCTCACAGCAACCTCAAACTCCTGGGCTGAAGTGATCTCCTGCCTTAGCCTCCTGAGTAACTGGAACTACAAACACATGCCACGGCACTCAGCTAATTTTCTTCTATTTTTTAGTAAAAACAGGTCTCACTCTTGTTCAGGCGGGTCTCAAACTCCTGACCTCAAGTGATCCTCCTATCTTGGCCTTCCAGAGTGCTATGACTACAGGCATGAGCCACTATTCCTGGCCTATTTTAATTTATTACTATAAATTACATTTACTAATATTTTAAGATGTTAAAGCAGCCTCTATCCAGACTGGTCAGCAACAAAATAATTCATGAATTACCAATATTAGGAAAAAAGAGTGCTTATCACCACAAATTCTATAGCTGTTGAAAGGATAAGGAGAAAATAAATCCTACAACTTGGGAAATGGACAAGTTCCTTGAAAAACTACCAAAGTCTACTCAGGAAGAACTAGATAATCTGAATAGAACTAGCTCTTGAAGAAAATTAAACTGAAAAATTTCCCATAAAGAAAATTCTTAGGCCCAGATTTCAATGGTGAATTTATTAATTTTATTGATTTCCTCAAAGAAATCACTAACTCAGCTTTCATTGCTTTTCTCTGCTGCTTTTTATTTTCTATTTCATTGGTTTATGTTTTAATATTTATTATTTTCTTTCTTATGCTTACTTTGGTTTTATTTTGCTTAGCTATTTCTGGTATCTTAAGGTGGAAGCAAAGATCATTGACTTGAGATCTTCTTTCTAATAAAAGTACATAGCTCTCTCCCTAATGTAATGGGCAAGTTCCCAGCCTCTCCCCCAGCCCCCCCCCCAGGGTTCCTGCCAAGAAACTTACCCAAACTGTAACCATTACTATCCCAGCTGTAACTAACTGCTGTTACCCAAGCTGTAACCATTGCTACCCAAGTTGTAACCATTGTAACCCCGCCCTGAGCTAACTGCAACATTCCACTTCTACACTGGCTTGCTTGCTTAGCAACACAAAAAAAGGTATACAAGACAACCTGCCCTCCACTTTGGGGCTGCCTGTCTCTCAGAGCAGCGGTCCCCTGCGCAGCTGTAATAAAATCACCGATTGACTGCATCTAAGTGGGGTCTGAGTCTATCTTTTCAGGTCACACCAGTTACAACACTAAGTATTGTACATGCTACAAATTTTATGTTTTCATTTTCATTCAGTTCTAAATACTTCCTAATTTCCCTTTTGATTTCTTCTTTGACCCATGGTTTATCTTGAAGTATATCATTTAGTCACTATTAACAAATATTTAGGACTTTTCCAAAGAAACTTTTTTTTTTT